AATCATATCACTACCTGCTGCTGTGCTACTACTACTACCACTACCACTACCACTACCACTACCACTACCACTACCACTACCACTACCACTACCACTACTACTACTACTACTACTACTACGACGACGACTGCGACGACGACGACGACTTCTACTACTACTGCCACCGCCGACTCCGACTCCTTCTCCTACTCCTTTTCCTACTCATACTCCGATGCCTCCTACTGCTCCTGCTCCTACTCCTACTCCTACTACACCTGGCGCCGCTGCTGCTGCTGCTGTTGTTGCTGCTGCGTACAACTGTCACGACGATGACAGCGACCACGACCGTCTCTTAGCCGCTTTCTCTTGCCATCAGGGGCGATCGCCATTGAAACTGTTTCTAACTACTGCTGATACTACTGCTAGTGTTCGCTGGTTAGGATGCAGGGTTTGAGGCTTATTCGCTTTCACTCCTCACACTCATGAACCTTCAAGACTACAGCTTCAAACCCTTCCTAAAAAGCCTTGGCCGCCCCCCAACCAACACGCTGGATAACCTAAGACCTTCAACGGTTGAACTTCGACGGCAAGCCTGACTTCGAAAGCTCAAACCCAAACGCAACAGAACAGAGCTGGCAGCGTCAACGGGATGGCGGGTTTACTCGGGCTTTGACGCTTCAGGTTGTGCAGGTTCTATTTTCAACATAGATGAAGAAACAGCAACTCAACAGCTTCAAGAAAACACCTACACACCCTCTGCACCATAAAAGTATTGCTAACATTCCTAGCGCACGAGTCCTTCGCACCCTCAAAAACAACATCAGCAAGCAATCGTCCCCTGGTCCAGGAGCTCTCCCAGCGGCCAAAAGGTCCTTCTGACTTACGAGCCAGCGGCCGGGGCCCTCCCGATCTCGGGGTTTCTTGAGGGTTTTTCATATTAGGACAGGGTGTCTTAGAGTACGAGGATAGGGCCTCAATAGGAATGGGGCTCTGGGATGCTAGAGCTCAGTGTCTTCGGGTTTCGAGTTCTTCGGGGTCTAGGGTCAAGATTCCTCCGCGTATGGGCGACGTGAGTTGTAACCCCGTGTAGTGGCCCCCCATAGCAACCCGTGTGGTAACTTGGTGGCCTGAGCCAAGGGCCCGCAACCAAGAATCCTCAAAAGCGAAAGACAGGGATGGTTCGAGTTTTTCGAGTGTCTGACCCGAAGCCCTAAGCCTTAAATAGTTGAAGCTGTGCAAGTTCAAGTTGATCAAGGCCCAGTGGCGTTGTCGAGCTGGGCTGGTGCGGCAGAGAAATCTTCGCTAGCCCAGCTTACATCACCGGTGACAGAGACGAACAAAGGCAATCAATGCCTTTATGCGGAGCTCAAGGAGATTAAGCAGACAGCTCAAGACACCAGGAGCACTGCCTTCGGCACAATATGGAGCGGAGGCGACTCTCAACATGTGACTGAGCCCCCATAAAGGCGTAGCGAATATGGCCAATCTTCGGCTCACCTTCAATGCTGAGGTGACTGTGATCAGGGACGAAGAAAACAAGGCTGAGACCTGGCCTTAACTTTGGAAACTCTGCACCCTAATTGCCAACTCGAGGCAGCCTACACCCGAAGAGCCCTCAGCTCCAACCCCTCAGCCCTAACCTTTCAGACCCTTAAAGCAATCCTCACAGTATTCGTATGCTCACTCTGATAGTAACCCTCAGATTCGGAGCCTCCGATCCCTAACCCCTGAAGCCCTAGGATCCCTCAACCGCTGGTGGACTTTGAAGCCAGGATGGCAAGGCGCCGCCTGGGTGGACCCAGCAGTATCCTGCGGGCCGGGACCGCGGGCTTTCTGAATTTTTCCGCGCGGGTTGTTTTGAATATGAGTTGGGAATGGAGTTCTCATTTCTTACAGGGATTGGGGGCAGTTTTCTTTTCGTTATTGTCATGGGGGGGGGGTTCAAGGTGAGTTAGGTTTGGGGTTACGTGCTTAGGGTCTGGGGCTTTGGCCTAGGGTGGAGCTCAGCTCAATTATTCCACGCGGCTACTTCAAAGGTGGCTCTAGGGTTTAGGATGTCCAGAGTGTTGTTTTTAAGATGGGAGGAATTGTAAGAGAAGGCACTGGAAAGGCACTTGGTCTGAGGACAGCTCACAGTCCCTCAGAGTCCCACTGTAAGTCCGAAACACGACAAGAAACCCACGAAGACTTGAACGCTGAAGCCTAAAGCCGCAGCCCTATGCTCGTAAACCCACATGGCCGGAGGATGTCGTAGGAAGAATGACGCCCAGGATCCCACAATACTGTTATGCTAGTTGTTGCAATTACAATTGCTGCTGCTATTCCTATCAATATTTTCTAGTGGTTGTTATTCTTGTTGTTCTGACAGTTATTACTGCTACTGTTGTTATTATTATTAGTAGTATTTCGAAAATTATTCTTATGATGATGATGAGTATTGTGATAATAATGGTAACTATTGTTGTTCTCGCTATTCCTGCTACTGTTACTTAATACTACTCCGATTACTACTACTAGTAACTACCATCATTCTTGCTACTGCTGCTACTATCAATATATCTATCCCCGGGAAGTCTATCCCCTAGCTCACAGATCCGAAGCTGAGGCAAACACGACGTGCGCCTGGAGGGTCCCCGGTCCATCGACGTTCAGCGGCATCCGCTGGAGGCGAGACTTGAACTTGGCGCTACAGGGCTTCGGGTTTAGGGTTTAAGGGGTGATCGGTTTAGGGTTTTAGGGTATAGGGTTTAGGGTATAGGGTTTAGGGTTTGGTTGGAGGTTGAGCCGGAGTCAGCGCGCATGCGGATATCAAGATTTTCCGGGTTAAAGTAGAGGAGAGATGTCGGCGTGCAGAAGCCTTGGACTGCAAAGAACCCTACACCCTTAAACTCAAAAACAGTCCTAAACAAATCCTGAAGTCTTTGCCTCAAACAAGAAACCGCTGACCCCCTGAACCTTCAACCCAAAGATCCCGAAGTTGCCTAATTCCCCAAACCCCTGATCAAGGTCTTCAGTATCTTTCTAGTAAGCCTAGCCCGTGCGGGACCGCTCAAAGGGAACCCTTAAAGAAAACCCTTACAGGAGGTCCCCTCCCTTTTCGGACCCCTTCAAAGACAGGCCCGATTTAGAGAACCCTATAAGGTACCCTTTTACAGGGACTATAGAGTATAGAGACCTGTAAAGAACCCCTTTACAGGGACTAGTCCCCTTCTTTCAGGTCTTCTGGAGGCTGAAGAAGAGCCTCCCCGACGTCCTCCCCATCGTCTTCGCCTTGGAAGCGGAAGGTCGGCTCCGGCGGTAAGCTGTTCCGCATAACAATAGGGGCTTAATGATTACCTGTATGATTTTGGGGGGTTCCTTCTTAGAATTATGGTATAATCTACCCCAAAACCGTATTCTAATTATTAAGGCCCCTACATTACATCAGATCGCTTCGCAAATGACTTGGTGCTGCCAGCAACATGGAAAAAATACCTTTGCTGCAAGCACTCGTTGTGTTTCCGTCATCCCTGCGGCTTTGGGTTTAGGATTTTTAGGACCTTCAGCCAAGCCTACACCCTTCAAGTTTTTGGTGCTCGAGCTATAGCCTCCAAGACAGAGAGTGTCGTCCCGCTTTGTAGAACCATGGAGTACAAGTTGGCAGTGGATTCCAGCAAGAAGGCCACGGAGCTCCCGCTATTGAGGGTATGCGGCACTGTGCAGCAAAATCCTCACATGCGCGCGTTCTGGGCCAGTACAATATCTTTCTTCCTTGCCTTCCTGGGCTGCTTCGTAAGAATTTACTACGACTGTAATCTTGGCACTCTTGAGTTTAGCTCGTTTCGACATTATATCAACACATAGTGTAAGCAGCCAAGGCTGGTTTGCCTTGGCGCCCTTGGGCCTCGAAGTTGCGACCAGCATGGGGACGTGCGAGAACCAGCTCTTCCCTCCCACGGACTTCCCAACGCGACCAGCCTACCTGAAGTTCAAGAACTTGAAGAGTGGGCTGAGCTATTGCCAGTATGGAGTCCTCAAGGAGAATGGCGACCTGATCGACTGCAAGGACGTCCCCGCAGATGTGGTGAGTGGCGCCGACTCAACGGCTGAGCAGAAGGAGAAGTACAGGCCCCAGGTGCTGGCAAAGTGCGTGTGCACCCCAGGCACGGAATGCAAGTCGGTGACCTGCTCAGCCAATGGCAGAACTTTTTAAGGTTTTGGCCTTATATATTTGGTCTCTGTTAGAAAGATTTGAACTTTTTTGGGCCCGGGTATTGGGGGTCCGTTCTTTTTTTTTGCTTTGGTGTGGCTCTTGCTTTGGCGTGGCTTGCTGGCTTCTTGGCCTTCTCTTGGTTTTTTGGCTTCTTGGCTTCTTGGCTTTTTGCCTTCTTGGCTTTCTGGCTTCTTGGCTTCTGGGTTCCTGGCTTGCTGGCTTCTCGGTTTTTTGGCTTCTTGGCTTTTTGGCTTCTTGGCTGTTTGGCTTCGTGGCTTCCTGGCTTTTTGGCGTTTTGGCTTTTGACAGCAACATCGAGAATTGCTGCATCTCGCTGTTGCCGCTGCTGCTGATGCGGCTGCTGGCGACCCGTGCCATCAAGCCCTAAACCAGCCTAAACCCGAAAAGTTCACGTGATTATGTGACCTTACGCGACGTCTACTGTGAGACTGAAAGCACATGAACATGAAGCCGAGGCTTTGAAGCCTTAAATGGTGTTCCAAACCTAAAGATTTCACCGTAGGTGAAACAAGAAGCCACCCTTCAAAGGCCTAGCCCTAAAGCCAAATCGGGAACTGGCCATTGTCTTTTTGTTTACAAGGCATTGCCCGCAGCCGTTCGGTTATAGCTGTCCACCACCACCTCCCTCCCAACGCAGCCCGCCCCCGGCTAAAAGACCAGCACTCCAAGAACATCCTCATGGGGGGATTATTGCGCCTTTGGAAAAGCACATGAACTTCGAATCTACCGCGCCTGCCACATGAAACAGGCTTGTTGGTTGTAAAAGTTGAGGCCATGGTTTTTTTTGGCAAAGTACAGTTGGGAAGTGCTTAAAACTGGGGTGTTTACAACGCTAGCCGGTGTTTCGGCCTGTTGAGGATTCGATGCGGTAAGTAGTACACTGAAAGTATTATCACGAAACATACCCAAAGTACCACGCCTGTCACACGAAACAGGGTTTGACATGGGACTGAGGATGCACTGAAACAACTCGTCGTGTGAGATGATCATAGGAAATTTCATGGTAGAACATGACATGATACCTCGTTATGTCCCCATGCACAACATACAACCGCACAGACAACATCATCCAGCACCACCATCCCCATGTAGAACATACAACATGAGCCAGCACCATCATCTCCATGTACAACATACAACATGAGCCAGCACCACCATCCCCGTGCAAACATGAGACATCATCCAGCACCACCATCCCCATAGTATCCAGCAGCAGCATGAGCACGGATTAGCAATGTAGGTCTTGAAACAATGCTGAAACAAAGAACGTTATTATCCCGCCCCCCCCCACCACCCCCCCCCCCCAAGTCGCAACAGCAAGCCGAAAAGTAGGCGCAGTCATCCCCCCATGTGCAAGAACATGAACCTGGAAGTGAGATGTTCATTGAGTTTTGCCACATGATTACTACGTGTTTAAGATACGTAGTGAATCGGACTCGCCACATGAGGGCGCGTGTCTAAGATATATTTATTGTGAGCCGGAATCGCCACATGAGGAGGGGTGTTTAAGAGATTTGGTGAACCGGAATCGCCAAGAGAGAGGTGCGTGTTTAAAATACATGGTGAACCGGAACCGCCAAGTGAGGGGACGTGTTAAAAGATATGATGAGCCGGTGTAGCCGATATCGCCAAATGAGAGGGCATGTGTAAGTTATAGGACGAACCGGAATCACCAAATGAGGGGACGTGTTTAAGATATGTGATGAACTCCGCGTTCTTTTTGTTTCGCGCAAGCTTGCTTAAAAGAACATCGTGCCATCGCAATTGGCAAAAGCCTCAGTCCTCGCTCCATCCCCTGGCCGCCTGTTTTAGCGCGGCTTTTTGCACCAGCTAATGACAACAGTCGTGATTTTTCGCAAAATAGTAGCAACTGCATAACTCAACCTGGTACGAAAAGTGCTACAAAATGCTATGCCTGAACTCAGAAACTCCTTTGTCGGCTGCGAAGCTGCTAAAAAGAGAAGAGGTGTGTGAATGTGTCATATGAAGGCCGTGCACTATGGTGCAAGGTTCGCACGACCCATGAAGGCAAAACAGAGCTAACCCTCGGCGTGGCCTTGTGGAGAGAAAAAAAAGGTTGAGCGTCGTTACGCACCCTTGCATGAGCGCTCCCGCGAGAACGTGCAGGGGGGGGGCGAGGGGGGGGGACACCAAAGCAAGAGCCACACCAAAGCAAAAAAAAAACTTCCGCCGGGTATTGGAGAAGAGAGGTGATTGCGAACGCGGGCGTTGCCTCGGTTGCCTCGACCATCTTCGTGAGGATAGCCTTGGGGACGCTCCTAGAGCACTTTGGCCCCGTGACTTGGCAGCAGGCCCCGCTTCACTAATTTGCGAATTATGACAAAGCCGTCAGCAACACCAAATAAGCCTTTGACTGCCGAGGTGAACGTTCAGTGCGGCTTAATGTCCTTCGGGGCTTTCTGGGTGGCCATGGCAGCCGCGATTTCGGCTCCATGGAACTACACGCTGATTCGCTTCTTCATTGGTTGCGCTGGCGCCACCTTCGTGACCAATCAGTTCTGGTGCTCGCTGATGTTTGCGCCCAACGTTGTCGGCACGGCCAACGCCACCGCGGCCGGTTGGGGCAACCTGGGAGGTGGCGTGACCCAGATTTTCATGATGTCAGTACTTTTCAATCTTATGGTGGCCTCCGGAATGGAGCCGAATGTCGCTTGGCGTGTCTCCATGGTGGTGCCAGCGGTCATGTTCGTAGTTTGTGCCATCTGCATGAAGCTCATGTGCTGGGATATGCCCATGGCACGCAATTACGATCCGACCGTGACCGGCAAGAC